ATTTATATAGATATATATATATTTATGTATATATAAAATTATTGATTTTTTTAATATTAACATTAACGCGTTTATGTACACCAACAAGAAAAACAATATTTTTCTTATGAAAAACGTTTAAGGAAAGGCACAAAAATGTAACTAATCAAAAAAAAATTTTACAATGGGTGTAAATAAAAAATAAGTGTCGTGGAATCGAATCAACATGATGAAACCAAAAAAAAAGGAAATTTCATGAAAAATGTCTTTTGAGTAATAAATATGCTTATACAAACAGTCTTATAATTAGGGCTTCGCCGTTTTGCAGTGAAGAAAGTGTTGGTGGGATGGTTCATCTCATGGATGAGATTGGATTAWAAATTTAAATATAGCGAGACAAAAGGGAAAATATCCTAGCATATAGTACACGACGATGACTAACGAAATAAAAAACTTTTTTGGCCCTCCATTTTTTTTCATTTTTTATTACATAGAGCTTAGTTTACCCTCTCCGCGTCGTCGAGGGTGGCAATAATGGGCAACATATATTGGAGTCTTTAATGTATTGCGTATACAGTCGAAGCCTTTGAAATTACATTACAAAAAAGATAAAAAGAAAATAATAAATAACAAGCATAATCAAAATGCTAAATAATTATAAATAACCTAAAATATCACAATTGTCTAGGTAATAATTAATAACTAAAACGGTCAGACACCTGGCAAAGTATATAATATTATGTGTATAATGTCTGACGGCAGATTCGTCAATTTTATTGTTAATGTTTTTTTTTTCTTTATGATACTAAAATTGAATAAACAATTTTATAATTTTTAATTGAATAATAAATTAATAAAGACAATAATTCTGAATCACAAAAAGATAAAACATAGTATTAATGCGTWAACAATTTGTGTACAAATAATTAATAGGTATGATTAATACCTATGACTAACCTCGAACGGTTATTATATTATCTTATATATCTACAAGGTGTACACTCGGAATCCGATCAAAATATAAAATGGTGAAAAAACGTCGTCGACAGGGCCTGGTCTCCTGTGTTTTTGTGTTTTTGGAGAACAACATAATGTTTACGATTTTATAGCTCATTTATCACTCATTTCTATCCTACAAAAAAAGCGCAAAACAAAAGAAAAAATAAATAAATATAAATCATAAAACAAACGGCAAAATAATAATAATAATAATGCATGCAAAATAATATTAAAATTAAAAATAATAATAATAATGGTGAAAATAATAATATAATAATGTGTATAATGTATTAATTTGACGGGACAGAGTCGTAGACATATTATGACAATAATATGTACGCGGTGATATATTATTATGAGTGCCCGCGCGATTCCCATAACGTTAAAGTATACAATATAATATGAACACCAACGAACGATTATCGTCGCACTGAGAGGTGATGTGTCGTGGACCGTGGTCATTGTTGTGTGTGCGCGTTTATCTATACGACCGCGCTGGTTTACACTGGTCGTAAAATATATATATATCATTTTTTTCGATCTTTTCACACACACAACGTTGGCYACGGAGAGTCAACGACAGTTCGCTACGATACGTGCGGAGCARCGGAAATAACTAAGTAGTTTATTTGTCACTGCAACGCTCTGTAGTCTGTACACATTATTTCATGAAAAATAACAGTATAATATAACACCAGGGTGATGCACTGATGCATATGCGTCAAATTCTCGTTTGTAGACAATTTGCCATGGATAGTGACGCGTCTCCGAAAAGCAATGATGGCAGTAAATCGAGTAAAACCGCCGATGTGCGGGTGAGACACGAGCCGAATTAATATTTCACCCCTATGATGGATATGGCGGTGAAAAACCAATAACGCCGTATTAAAAAACGTGGAGGCGACTGATATCGTCCGTAAAGCTTTTGCAGGTGGTCGCAGATTTTTCACGCCTATACATGTAGCCTATATACGGGTGTCAAAAACACGCAAACCACGAACACACTTGAAAACAGTTTTCGAGAAGCTACTTCCAATGATACACTACGCAACCGCCAGAATGTATAGGACAAATAAAATATTATTATATTTATATAATATAAATGTGTATCAAATCGGTTTGCCGCCGTTAATCAGTTCTCGAATTTTATATTTTTAACGGGGCCTATAACAATGAAAAACGTACCTCACGCACACACACTCACGCAGTACGGGCCCAAAATATGAGGGAATCCTTTAAAAACACACTCACACATATAACAAATACAGTGTATAGAAACGTTCTATTATTTCAATTTTTTTTTTTTTTTTGTTTGGGGAGATGTTCCTTTCTCCGGTTTCACATTCGACGTAACGAATTTCTGTAATAATCTCCACTCGCACACATCACCGTTGCCGGAGAGCGGCGGTGGTTCGACATTGTTTCCAGAATATTAACGTACCCCAAGCGAATCCCAGCGCAGCACATTGTGCGCGCCACCGGAGATGTTGTACGTTCGATACGGAACCCTTTTCATTAAAAATAAAATACATACAGTATACATATACATACACATACATATATCAATCGGATCATGAAAGATTTGTACACAAGCATGTTGCATATTTTCTCGTTTATATTCTCTCGCGTTTTTTTAGTTTTCCTGCTTTCTCTCTCTCACTCACAGTCCCCGAGTAATAATAATAATCATAAGRTATTTCGACGGCACGGTGTTTGACTTACGCATCACACAATTTGGACGCCAAATCAAATTGATTTTGTTATTGTTCGCTGRGTCACATCCCTGTAGGCATAATAGCTGTCCGTCATGTCATGATTTCTCAAACCGTGATGGTCGTAACCCAAGTACATATAACGGTACGTCTCCAGCATAATATGTTACCACTCGTGATCAATCGCATGGAGTTCGTTTAGTTGGGCATAATTCGTGTGCGATTGGAACACCGTATATCTCTTATACTACCGATAATAACACTAACACTAATACTAATACTTATACTAATTACAACACTGATTTAAGACTACTGACCTGGCGACGTCATCATGGCTGTGCCCGGGTGCATGAATCCTTGCTGGAAACTCACGCCTAGGTTGTACAGGTGCGGCAATAAGGCCAACTCTTCGGCGGTCATTTGCGACTGATCCTTGCCGTCGAGCTTCGCTATGGTAGCCATGGCCACGGCCTGTGCCACGGGAGACTGGCCTATGAGCCCAGCCAGCTGGAGCATTTGCAGCTGATTGACTTGCTGGTTGGGAAGGTTGTTGTTGTGCGGGTCGCCCGGAGTTGACGGCACCGTGAAGTCACCGTCACTACAGTTACCCGACATGTCAGAAACCGACATACGGCTCTCCACGTGCCCCTTGACCAGGGCGATGTGACGGCTGGTAAATATGTGGTCTTGGACAGAGTACTTATGTGTATACTTGAATCGGCAGTACTTGCACTCATCAGGCGGCCCCGTAAGATCTTGGTTTTGCTTGGTTTGCAATTTGTACTTTTTCTCCTTGGCCCGTGCGTTTTGGAACCACACCTGAACCACGCGCTTCGCCAAGCCGATTTCACGACCCAGCATCTCACACTCACCCATCGTCGGGGTCTTGTAGTCATCGAACAGTGCTTTCATCACTTTCACTTGAACGTTGCTCATCTGCGTCCGGTACCGTTTGTTTTGACTGCTACTGCTGCCACCCGGAGCGTTCACCCTTTGCTGACCGCTTTGAGTGCTTGATGCTGGTGATGCTGGGCTTTCGTCATCCATGATGTCCGTGCACTCTGACATGCTATCTTCGTCATCGTCCTGTTCTTGATCCATACGTAAATCCACAGGTTTGCTCAGATCTAGCGGACTGTCTCCTTCCGGTTTGGTTTTCTCACCACCTTCGGACAGAACGCCGTTCTGCATACTCGACTGTTGCATTTCCTCCATGTATCTCTTCAACGACTCCTGGTACATTTTACCCAGGTTTTCCACGTCCTCTGCGTTCTGATAGTACGGGTTCGGCGCGTATGTCTGATTCTTTTGCCCAATCTCGCTCATCTGGGACGATGCGAACGAGTCCATACTGACATCTTCATCCGGAATGTTGTCTACGTTTATGTATCCCCTGGAACACTGTTCCGGGTGTTTGGTCTGCAAATGCGATTCCAACGCCGATTTGATTTTGAAAATGGCTGAACAGAACGGACATCTCTTATTGATCGCCTGCGAATGCGCTCTGAACTGACCTTTTCGCTCTCTGGCCCTGGTATTTTGGAACCACACTTGAACAACGCGTTTCTTTAAACCCACTTCTTGCGCTATGCTTTCCAACATCTTTCTGGACGGATTGCTCTCGATCTGATATTTTTGATACAAGTAATCCAACTGTTCTGGTAAAATAGTGGTCCTCAGACGTTTGTCTTTTGTGAACTCGGTTTCTTTATCACTATGATCATCAAATTCATCGAAYGATCTTTTATTATTCTGTTGCATCATTGACAAAATTAACGACGTAGGATTGGTGTTCATTTCGGATGTACCACTCATCTGTTGCGACTGAGATTGTTGTTGTTGGAGCTGCTGTTGTTGTTGATGTAATTGTGCTTGTTGTTGTAAAATTCCGAAAGCACTTTCTGGATGATAGGTAGGGAACAAATTTGGATTCATTAAATGCACTTGTTGGTGTTCTTTCCACTGATCAAGTTTTGTGAACACCGAATTACAATGTTCACAGTTATAAACGTTTTCTTTGTCATGCGAAGATGATGTTTGAATTGGTGATGTTGGATATGTCAAACTCGGAGTTGGTGTTGGAGTCGGAGTCATTGGATTAGAGTTAGCACTTTGTCCTTGATGATTTTCTACAGTGCTAGAATTGGAATCTTCGGAACTCAACGCAGCCGCAATGTGGGCGGCAGCTGCCTGAGCTTGAGCTGACCTTTTGGCGTCTTCTTCTTTGAAACAGTGCGTCTTTTGATGTCTAATGAGTTCATAATATCTCTGGAACACTAACAGGCATTTATTACACTGATAGTTTAAACCAGGTGTTCTTTGAAATCGATTTGATCCTTCTTCAACAATACCTGKTGCAGGTTCTGCAGCTGGCTGGTTTTCGTAAACTTTTCTAGCTTTTTGTCGGGCATTTTGGAACCACACGACGATCACTCTAGGACTCAGATTCAGTAATTTCGACAAATACTCGAGGTCATCGTCTTTCGGGTAAGCGTTGTTTTCGAAAAATTCTTGTAACACCTTGATCTGACAATCTGTAAAACGAGTTCTATTAGCTCGTTTACCAGACGAAGTGGAACCTCCGGAACCACCGCTACTCTGGTTCATCATGATTGAATGTGGAAACCCATCAGATGAATTTGGTGATCTACCAGGGCTAATGCTYCTYGGGCCCGATTGTGTGGTAACTGACATCTGAGGTGGGGACGTAAAACTCGATGCAGATATTTTCGGTGGTAGCATATTGCTGGTAGAAATTGCATTTGACATATTTATTTCTTGATGTTGAGAAGTTAGAATTGAGGACAAGGTAAGATTTTCGGCGGCATTTAAGTCTAGTGGAGACCYTCTGTCATGGTGAATGTACAGATTTTGTTTTTCTTCAACCGAATCTCTACGTTTAGACGGAGACTCGGGATTTCCCCAAGCAAATTTCGTTTCAGGCTGACTAGTTTCGGCATCTTTCAGTTCTGGTTTGACTTGCGACTCCATCTTCACCGGAGAATCCAACGGTTGTGTGGCGAACGGTCTCGAAAAGTTTTGAGCAAATGKCTGTTGTTGTGGAAATGTGGGTGTTTGACTCTGTGCTCGCACAACAGTGTTATTATTCGGGGTGCTGGTCTGTAGAGGCTTCTTTTTGGCGAATGTCGGTGTCTTAGGGGCTTCTTTAATGACAACGACGTCGGTGTTTTCAATTATTGGTATCGGTTGAGTAAGGGGCATTACTTTTGCCTCTCCAGTTTTCTCGTATTCTTCCAAATTCAACGTAGTCGATGGTGGATTATTAAAATTGTACGGAGAATCTTTGTTTCTCTGTCTTTCTTTGAACAATGTATTTCTAAACCAGTGTTTGATGACTTTGGGTGGGAGACCACTTTGACTGGCCATTTCTTGTATCTGATCTTCAGATGGAGAATTGTTAATGTCAAAGTGAGCACGTAGGATTTTCAATTGATCATCAGTGATGCGTGTCCTTGCTCGTTTTTGTTGCGAATTTTGTTGCTGTAAAAAATTAAACCATGACAATAAAACACTAATAATAAATAACTAAGCATTGCTTAAACATAAAATGCTCTATGAGAAATTAATGACGCAACATGGTTCAAGCATGAAAATTAAAATAAAAAAAATATAGTAAAAATAATAAGCGTTGTACCCATATATTAAAAAAAAATTATAATAATAAACCTATTGTGGAAAATAAAATAATAGTTTCATATAGTTTTCTATTGTTAAATATATCTATATTTATTATTTATTTTCCGTAATAATTTTCAAATCGCTATGTATAAGTGTAATGAGCTTATTTTAATTTAGCTATACCTATAGTGTTTTAGCTATAAAYGCAAAAATAAATACATTATTACATTGATAGCGTATAAGTATTAAAAAAAAATGTAGGTAATGAAAAATTATTTTTTATAAGCTACGAGGGAAATACTTTATGAATTTTATATGATTGATTAATTTATATTTATTTAAAACTAACTAATAAATTATAACGTATTAATTTAATATAAAAGATACATAACAATAACTAAATAATTAATATTTTATAATATTTATGTCATAAATTATTAATTTTTAAATATGAATAATGTTATTATAGTTTAATTAATTAAATATATACTCGTATTATCTTATAATAATAATTATTAATTCTGTTAAAAGTTAACAAAAATAATTAGTTTTATAAATTTCTCATATAAATTTAATTCGTAAAAATGTAATTTTGATTTTAATAATTTTTATCATTACTACTATTTAATTTATGCTCAGTTTGATTAGATATTTATTGTATATACAATATACGTAACAGTAATATACATAATAGTCATAATATTAAATCTACTGAAATGTAACACATAATATAGAATATTGTATGTTATAAAAATAAATACGTTAATTTTATAATTGTATAATGATTGTAAGAAAAGAAAGGTATCGTTTAATTTGTTATTAAGTATATATAATATATAACTGTAATAATATTACAAACACTGATATGTGATACATATCTAACTCATATATAGTATTGTATATAATTTAGATAAATAATTTTACATGGAAAAATATATGTATTTTAAGCGTCTCCAKGTAATATTGGAATTAATTCGATGATAAAATTCAAAATTAAAATACTACCTATATATGTTTTTATCACTATTTTATATAATAAACAAATCCAAATTATATATTTTTATTTAATTTAACTCCCTATAGACTTATACAATAATCAAAATCAGTACTCACCACTTGTTGCTGTTGTTGGAGTAACTGTTGCTGTTTTGCCAGGATTCCAGTCGGGTCCATGGAGGAAGGTTGTTGTTGGAAAATTGTATTTTGTTGCGAACCCATTATTGATTCAAAATTCGGTGGCGGCATCATCATGGGAACCAGGGGTGGTTGTAGATTCATAGCGGCGAGCGCTTGCATGTTGAGGCCCAAAGGCAGTCCCATACCGAGGCCAGCCATACTAGCCACCATCATAGGGTTGAATTGTTGAAGTTGTTGTGTAAGTTGCGACGCTGCCATCGCATTAAATGCCGCTTGCATTTCGTTCAAGTGTTGAGCAACTGACATCGGGATGTTCGGTGGAACACCTGACATGTTCACGTTGGACTGTTCGCCAGTCGACGATGTGGCAGCGTTGGAAATGTAATCGACGTTTTCGGTTTGTGCTTCAATGTCCTGTTCGTTTTCTGTCTTGACAGAAACATCCTCGGACGGAGATCCGATCCTGGCCGTTGGAGTTGTGGTGGTGGACACGGATGTCGATGACGGCAATGACGTTGTGGTGTTGGTGGCTGGCGGTTCGTTGCCTTTCTTCTCTATCTCACATTTTATCTGTTTGGCATACTTTTCGAGGAAATCGAACGGCACTAGGTCCTTGTGGACTTCTTCACAATGAGCTTTCAACACCCATACACTTGAGAACTCTTTGTTGCAGTGAACACATGTCGACTTTGCAACTTCCGGCAGGTCCCCGGTATCTTCTTCATTAATCTCATTAATTTCCTCCTTGACGGCGTTCGCCTGCTGTTCCATTTCCATTTGAGCGGTGAGCTCTTGAAGCAACTTTTCATTTTCTTTACGCTTCTGGTGATTCTCGTTGAATTGCATCACCAGATCAAACCCATAGCTCTCCAGCAGCTTGTACATGTGAGAGTGCTTCTTACCTTGCAGTGCCAACGGTACCTTTAACAACTGTTCTTCAGTCAGTGTTAACTGCTGTGATGGCGACTTTGGTCCTTGAACAGAAGCGCCCAGGTTGTTGGCTGCAAACGCTAGCGTCGAATTCATTGGCAACATACTCATCGGTGTACCGAACATGCAATACAACTGCTGGTGGGTATTGAGTTGGTCTTGATTAGAAAACAACGCGTTGCATCGTTGACAACTCAGCTGGTTGCCTTTTTGGTGAATGTTCTGTTGTTGTTGTTGTTGTTGTTGTTGTGGTAGTTGTAATTGTTGTTCGTCTTTACTGGACGCTTGACTTTCGGCATCCTGTCGATTTTGTGATGGTGGTCGACTGCCCTGTTCTGGTTGCTCAATTATTGGCTTCGTCAAGTCCACCTGTCCAGCCAACGCAAGATCGTGCAACTTTGAAGCTCTAGTCTGATGCAATACTGACCTCATGTGAATGTCCAGTGTCGACCCTTGGGTATACGCAACTTTACAAATGTTGCACTTGTATGGTTTTTTGTCGTCATCTTCCGAAGTCGAGCCCGACGTTTTAGACGCCACATTCATGGCGGCGAAAGACGAATTGTTCGATACAATAGGCGTGTTATTGTTGTTTAGCTGTTGCTGTTGCTCTTGCATTGACCTCTTCAACTTGTGTAAATGAAGAACAGAGTTGTAATGCACCAAAAGTATGTTCTTTTGCGTGAACGACTCTTTACAAACYTCGCATTTAAATGGCCGGTTGGGGTCGAGATATTTTTCCATCGGATATGTCTGCTTTTCACCTTTTCGGTGTAAAAGCGTTTTGTTGTGGTGCGTCAGGTACTTCTGATTGGTGAACGCAACTTTGCATCGGTGACACTTGTACTTTCTTTCCGAATCATTGTATCCGTCTTCGGCTAGTGTCTGTCCGTTCATGTAGTCTTCAATCAGCTGCTGTTGTTTAAATGCGATAGAATCGTCACTATTGTCACACTCGGGTTCTTCGTCCTTTTCTTCTTCGTCGTCGACAGATTCATCAATTTCCATTTTTTCGTCAGCTGATTGTTCAAATTGAAGCATGGAGTTTTGTTTCAACGCTTCCAAGTCAGCTTGAGCCAGATCAGGATGAGCGGTTTGCAAGTGCTTTTGAAACGTGGCTACAGTCCTAAAACTACGTCTGCACAAAATACACTTCGTCAGGTCTCTGATAGCATGATATTGGGAATGTGCTTGCAATTTATCGAGCGTTTTGAACGCTAAACTACACTGGTTGCATCTGTATTTGTAAACGTGTTTCTCGGATACAAGAATGTTTTGCTGTCCAGCATGCATTTCACGGAAGTGAATGTGTAAATTCTGCACTGTAGTGAAATAAAGATTGCAACCTTTTTTCCAGCACAAGTAACCAGGTCCATTTGGTGTCTGTTTGATTTCGACGTGACCGGTATCGTTTTGGTGTTGACATAAGTCATCAATATTTTTACACAGTTTTTGGCATGTTGGACATTTGTTTTCGTCAGTATCTTGATCTAGGATTTCGTCAGATTTTTCTATTGATTTGTCTAARTCAGGTGATGGCGGACTTGTAGAAGTGTGAGGCGGACTCTGCTGTGAAGATTTTGATGAGTTCAACCAGTGCGATTGGTTGACCAAACTCAGCAGCCGTTGGAGACCTTCGGAGTTTACACTGTGAATGTTCATTAAATGTTTTTCGAAATTGATTAAATCTTCGAAAACGTCTTGGCAAAGTGGACAGTACAATTCGTTTTTCTTTTGGTCGGTTGGAGTTAAATGTTCTTGACTTTCGGTAATTTTTGGCGAGTTGCGATTGGAGTCCAATTCGAACTGTTCGGAACTCTCTGCTTTCACYGYGTCCATAGACATGTTTAGATTTTCATTGTCACCTTTATTTTCGCGATCTAAAAATTAAATTAAAAAAAAAAATTATATAAAATCTATATCCTACTATATAAAGTATTAACAATATTAAGGCGGCGTTGTGGGAACTGAAATCAACGGAGTATGAAAGCAACAATGGGCGTACCACACTTTGAATGAGTGAGCAACAAGAATAAGATTTTTGTTACCGTACAACCCGTCACTTTTATACAATTAAAGATAATTTAAAATGTAATCAAGTGTTYAGGAAAAATAACATTAAAGAATAGAAAAATAAAGACGCAACGGTTTATGTCATGTCATTGTGAGGTGGAACTTAATGTTAACTAATTAATGCAATTATTATCAAAACTTTATTTCGWGTTTTTTTTTATTTCTTTGATAGAAATTAACCTATAAAAGAAGTGAAGACATTTAATAATCATCGTGAGGTTCTCAACCAATGAGATCAATTCTTTACTCCGTAAATGGCAAACAATGATACACTTCTTCACGTTCAGAGGTCTTTGTGCTGTCTGATAATTAAACGTACAATACGGTAATGATTTACATTCACTTAAGTATGATTGTCAATGAGGATTTAATATGAGATATTGTTTACTGTGAATGGTACTAGCACGACTCAATTCAAAAATATTTACACATTAAGTATAGTGRCTGAGTATAATTTATTTACTTATAACAAATCAATAATAATACACAAACTAAAAACTTTATTCGTAGAAACGTTTTTCTATCATTACTATTTTATTAATATCGCTATTATATTTGATTATTTTTTTTTTTTTAAATTGCCCAACTTAATTTAATTACTCAATTAAACATATTACCTTATATTTCAATTTATCGTTATGCTGCGAAGAAATACCGTGAAATAAACATATCGAAAAAATGATTTATTGTTTTAAACGAATAGTTTTGTTATAACGTAATTACATGGTATTTGTGATTATTGGTTTCAATGTTTATTCCTAATTTAATTACTATTTAATATTGTATAATTTCATTACATTAAAATTATTATTATATTTATACTAATGTACTGTACATTGTAATATAAACGAAACGTGTACTAAACTTTGCCCTCTATAGGTTTAATAAATGAAAAGATTATTTCCTATAAAAACGTATTAATTGATATAAATAATTATTTATAACACAATCAGCAAAATATCAATAGAGTTAATAAAAAAAAAAAAGTAAATTAATTATTTTTACGTATACCTGAACATTTTTTATTCGATTTAATTATTGCAATTTTTTGATTTCTACGTATTTTTGATAACAAAATAAATAATTATGCTTACTATTTTTTATTACCATTGACTATCGGAATCGTTTAAAAATAGTTTTGTATGGTATAATCTACGATTAATAATTATATTATTACGCGTGTAACGACTTACCTTGTTCTTGGTCGCTATCGACAGACATAGAAGTTTGTGGARCTGTGGACACTTGGAACACCATGTTTATGTCGGTCTGTATGTCCTTGCCATCGGACCGCCTTTGCATCTGGTGCAGCTGCTCCATTTGCATATGCTTCACGGTCCTGACGTGTTGCAGCAGTGGCAATTTGTCTTTGCTGGAAAACTCGCAAAGTAAACAGTGATAGACGGAAACGTCGCCAGCGTCGTTGTCCCGCAGATATCGGAATAACAGCGAGGCGGCCTCGTGCCTCTGGCCGGAACAGTGAAGCTGTAATTTGTGCGTGCTGTTCGTGTAGTAATCGCACGCGTTGCATCTGACCTGTACGCCACCGGGCGACGACATGTACTTGAGCTTCCACTCGTTCTGCGGCCCACCCTCCTTCACGTGGTTGACGTGTTGTAGCCTCTGCAAATGTTTGTCGGTCTTGCAGTGAAGCTGAAAGTTGGCTTTCAGGTTTGTCTTGTATGTGCACAGATTGCATATATAGTTTCCAGCCACCACGGTGAGTATTTCTTGTTCACGTACTTTAGTCCGGTCGGTGGACAAGTGATGGGATAGCGTATCCAACGAGTCCGTGACGAACGTGCTACACGTGCTACACTGGAACATAAAGTTCGGATTTTTGTCCACCGGCTCAGGTGGCGGTTCCATAGTCTCTGGGTTCAGTCCGATGTCGGTGTCAACATGTGGTGACACGTCGCCCGTGAAGTGTGGCGGCATCTGTCCACCGGTCATCATTTGTATGAGTAATGCCTGGTTGTACGCCATGTCGGCGAGCGCTGCCTCGGTGTGCGGCGGTGGCTTATCTCCGGGGAGCGTGAGCCCCGGGTGGAAGTGCATTAGCGACTCAAAGTTCATCTGCTGTTGGTGATGTGTCTGTAGGGCGTTGAGCGTTTGCATGTGCTTGACGCTTTGYTGCAACACCATGATATTGTGTGTATGCTTCTCACTGGTCATATGTATGCGAAGGTTCCGAGCCACGTTCGTCTCATAGTTGCACACCTCGCATCTGAACGTAGGCTTGGGCTTCTGGTTGATCATTGGGCTGCTCATAGCTGGATGTTGGCTGCTCGTCGATCCTGGGCTCATGGCCGAAGATTGTTTCGGGTGCTGAGACGGCGACGAAGCCTGGTGCCTTTGCATATCGTTGCCGGCCACACCACCGTTTTGTAACTCTTGCATGTTGTTGAGATGCTTGTCAGACTGCATGTGTATGCTCAGGTTGCCCTTGGTAGTCGTCGAGTAGTTGCACACCTCGCAGCGGTACGGCTTGTAACCACACGTGTACGTTTCGCCCCTGGCCAACCGCGGGTGCGGTTGACCGGCGATGCAGTAGACGCACGATGTTTCAGACTCGGGGTGTTTCTCTTTCATGTGTATTTCCAACGTCTCTTGGTATTTGTAGTGCCAGTTACATTTCGGGCATTTAAGCGTTTTACACGAATTTCTAGAATGCATACCTACCAACGACCCGCCGACTCCACCCAGTCTTGAGGAACTTAAAATGAGCTCGCACCTGGCGCAGTCTACTCCGCTGGGCCTACCGTTCATGTGATCTGGACACACGCCAATTGTAGTACCGGTCATAAAGTTRGGCGGCGGTTGAGGATACGTTAACGGGGCGCCACCGGATATGAGTTGTGGGCTGAGTGTGGTACCTGGTGACGGGCTGGCACCTGGTGAAGCGCTGTTGCTCCGGGCGGACGTGCCTGACGACACGGCCAACGCGGATATTGGACTCTTCCTGGTCAGGTCCATGATACAATCGTACATATTGGACCTGCCGCCGGCTCCGGAGGTGGCGGCTTTATTACTACAATTATTGTTTTTACTTAAACTAAACGAGTTAACATTACTTCTAGGACTACCAGATTGAGGTAGGGAGACGGACGTCTCAGGAACTGTATTGACACTCGGAGAAGAGGTGGGTGGCGTGGCATTACGCCTGTGCACCACCAGGCTTTCCGGGCAGCCCTTCTGGTCGCCAACGCTGCCAGCACCGCCGTCAGATGAGGAGGAACGATTACCGTCATTAATAAACGCATTAGGAACTTTGTGAGCGGCGCTCGGAGACGACGACGACGACGACTGGGACGGGGATGCGGTCCGAGCATGAGCTTTATTGGTGGACAGGGCCAAGGGCTCAAGGAAGGACACCAGTGGCTCCTTTTCCTTGCCCACGCATTGCACAATGGCCGACGCGTTCTTGTGACCAAGTATGTTGTACTCGTCCTCCTGAAGCGTGACGCCGTGTTCACCGGTGGCGTGCGCTACGAAAGACTTTGCGTACCCGAACGACAGTTTGCATATGAAGCACATGAGTATCGGCTTGACGGGCACCGTCGAACAGTCGTTGGACAATGGCGGCGTCCGGCTGTCCGGCGCACCCGCTTTGTCACGTACTGTATACACCCTGTAGCTGTGCATCACCGGCACTTCAGGAACTATCTTCTTGTCTTGGAACACCCTGTTGAGGGCCGCGGCGGCGGGTGCACTATTGGTTTGCTGCTGCTGTTGTTGCTGCTCGTACAGGTCCCCGTAGTTGGCCCGGGACACGTAGAACGCATTAGCGATCTGCGGGAACACCTCGGCTTGCGATAGGTTCACGCCCCGGCCATCCACGATACTGCCAGATCCGAGGAGCTCGGACGGCAGGTCGACGCCGTCATCCTCGCTCAGCTCACTGTTGTCCTCGATTATGTATGCCGACCCATCTGGGTTGTACACAATCTTGCCGTCGAACTTTTCCACGTCACTGCTGTTCGCCCACGATTCAGACTCGGCATCCGGTTTGCTGGCCACCGAGTCGAACTTGCTGCCAGATGGTGGCGACGTCAAGCGGCGCTCCTCGTCATCCCGGCCGGCGATCACGCCCGTCACCGGCGAGCTCGACTGCTCTTCTTCTGGGCTCATGTCAGCCACGACAACTGCTGCGGTGGCGGCTGCGTTGCTGCTAATCGCTGCACTGATTGTCTCGGACGGTGTGTCTGTAATCCATCCGGCGGCACGGTCCACTAGGCTTCCACCTGTTGGCGAGGACGATTGTATTGGTATCGGTGACGGCATTTCTGGTTATCAATCATCACCAATGTATTCGCACCACTGCCTTGACATACCCCGCGTACACCACAATCTATTAAAAAACAAAAAAAAAACACAAACCATAAGTAACATTTTATTTGTTGGGCAAATATTTTAGTTGGAATAAATTAAGACGACCTGGGTCAAACATCATCATAGCATTATATTATTATTTATTAAATTTAGCAGCTAGGTAGAATTGCTAGTTATGTTAGATTTAGATATGTAATATATATGTATTATATATTACATTATATATAATATACCAACGATATTACCTACAAGTATTTTATTTAATATTTTTTTTAATTCGAATTTAAAGTCATCGATTTCGACCACGCCCCCCGATATACGTATGTTTCGCACTACATGATACGAAAACCGGTAGCAAGAAAACAGGACTACCTACATTTTTTTTCTGTTCTCATCTATTATCATTATTCCTATTATTTTATATAATATACTTAAGCGTACTATCTATATAGTCTCTGTCTATAGCAGCTACACAATTAGAAAAAAAAGTGTAAAAAAACTCTATACGTGTCCGTCTTAATTCGCGTTCGCCTGTCGTCCGTGAAGGAAAAGGTGATGTACAGCTGTTGTCGCGGTATGTGACACTAACGCTTCCATTGTTCGGAAACCGCCACAGCTAATCAAGCCCGTCCGAATATATATTTTTATACTTATTGGTGAATCGTTAGTTAATATTTCTCTGCTATTTTTATTTTACCCCATGTTTATATATGTACAGTGCATACCTATACCAGTTTCGCGTTCGCCGCTCACAACCGGTCCGCGAAATGTATAATTCATTCTGTTCACGAATTCGGATAAAAACAATGCTCTTTTGTGTTTTGCAACAACATTAACATAATTCCCGAACGAGGAATATAATCATATAACAGGTATTAGGTACTTGTGCACGCAACGTCTTCTTTATTTTTATTTCGTTTTTTTTACAGAAAACCATTTAATTCATTTTATAWTATATTTTTTTAATCCGTAATTATTTTCAGAGAAAAAATGTTTTTAAACGTTGCGAGTAACGATCATTCTGCGGAAACACGCGGGTGGATGTGGGACAGAGGAAACGACGACGACAAAACCTACAGGAAACAGCCGATTGCCTCCGCTGAAGACCGACTTCGCGCGCCCGAATAACCAGGTCGACATTTCCGACGTTTTGACTAGGCCGTTTATATGCATTCGTGGTATACCTATACCTATAAGTTAAATATAACTCTAAGAGAAGCAACTACCTTGCAAGTGACGTAGAGGTCTTTCGGGGGTTAATTGTTGGCGCCAAAACACCGCCTACCAGGGACAAATTAGAGGATAATTACTGGTGGCGGCACAGGCGGCCGACCATCGGTATAAAACTACAAAGTAATAATTACACATCGAAATAACAATATATATATATATATATATATATATACATACATATATATTTATAGGCGTACCTATAGCGATTAAAGACGCCAAGAAGTCCGAACGGAGAGTTCTTCGGCGGCGAACGCGGCTCCAGAATATTACATAMATTTTTTTTTTTGAAAACTCATCACACACAACACACGTCTTGTCTTATAGGCGACGACGGTAATATAGAAGGTATGAATCACATAATAGATAAGTAGATATTATATTATATTAAATTATATTATATATATGTATGGTTTGAAATAATAGTTTTATAATAATTATTATAATCACCTAATAATATGCATTTATCGCGGTTATATACACCGTCAATCAGTTTTTAATTTATCTAAAGAGATAAAACACGTGGTCACAGGACACCGAAAATTCGCCTGCTATGGTCGGAATACAATACTACACGAGCGGAAAATAGTGCTTGTGGATACAAAAAATATCGTGTATTCACGAGCCCTTCCTCCGATTTCCCATTGGCGCCGCCATTCGGCAGGAGGAGGAAAAGCTCACTTAACGGCGAGAGCCTGCGCGTGTTCATTTACACAGATGACCGTCGCGGCGGCGGCGTTTCCAGTGGAAACCAAAGTTATATGTAATTATTTGTCCCGAACGCCAGCCCGACTAAAGACAACGTGATATAAATGAAACAATTCTCGAACAAATTTTTTTAAAGATTTTAGCGATCCATGCTATTAGGTACAAAAGGATATTAAACTTATAAGTTATATTACTCAAGAAGGTAGTATAATATTCACAGTTAACGATTTTAATTTTATTYTTCTCACACCGTACCTATAAATATAACGAAAGGTAACGAACCTAAATCTAGAACTCACACTTACACGAGTGAACAGATACGTGGATGAAGTATCTATGTGCGTGTATAGAGAAACGTATAAAAAAACATCATCAAAATGCGTTACATAATATAACGGACACACACATTAAAGTTTATATCGGAGATTTTACATCATTAATTATTATAATATAATAACATTTACGTTTTTAATTACTTTGTTTATATCCATTTTAATTAATGTATTTTTTAACACACTATAATAAATGACGTAAAACGCATTTATCGAATAGAGGTACCTTATAATAACGCATTAAGTTAATGTTTTTTTTTTTTTAATTTTACAGTGGCACAAGATCACAGTGGTACAGAATTATTATATTTTCGCAATCCCCGTAAAGACAACATTTTTAGTTCAATAACGTAATTATTGATGTAATTAATAGAAACAAACTAGTGCAAGGATCATATTTGTTCGTAATCAGTTATTATTTTATTATAAAAAGTGATAAATTTCATGAACGAACAGAGCTAGTTTATTATTATTATAACTATTCGTATTATATATTAATATGATTTCTGTTGATTTGTTCTTATTTAATTGGCAATAATACATTATAGGTATACAATTAAAGACAAATATAGTTTTCTAACCCAATTCACCAAGCATATGCCACGGCCTGCATACACACACGCTAGGTTTTATCTATTAGTATTTATGAACGGTTATTATTTTTTTTAATTTTWATTTTTATAAATGTTCATGCACGTATATGTGTGCTTTATCTAATGTGTTTTATGCCAGGTATTTTTATAGGAATATTTTAATATAAGATCGATTTTAAATTTTTTTGTTATCCATAGGTACGTAACATATGTCCTCCCGCACACGCTACAATGCTACATACGAAAACGATTAATACTATTTTTTTCTTAATACACATTATAATAATAAGAAAAAACACACCTGTTTGAATGATAAATCACGCTATCCGAGAGCGCGCGCGCGTTAATTACGTATGCATGCGGCCTCCGGGTACCCGGCATACCTATAACAAATATTTTTCGTTTTTTACCGGTATTAATTAGTAAACATCCCCCGGAGCTTCGTTTTTTGAAGAACGAAAAAATCCGTTGTGGATTTCTTCGGCGGCGGTCACGTGAAAACACATAAATTTATTACCCATATATTATACCTATAACAAATATCGAGCATACCTTGATGTATRTATACAAATACATTATGTATAGAAGSGAACACTACGCGCGTCGAGCGACGATGGTTTTCGCGTTTTCTCCCGTCGGCGACAACGACGATAATATAATTGCCGTTTTCCTATTCATCATCCGACCAGAACAAGACTACCAGCGCTAACGAAAAAAAAATTAAATAGAATAAAACACCGGCACATAGTAATAACCACCACCCGCCCTCGCATAGGTCGGCGACACCGGCCATCTTGAATTCCAAATGAGGTCCGTCAAACGCGCGCACAACATACACACATTACATACACCTATATATATATATATATTTATATACACAACACATATACACGACACATGCACACGCACGTGTATAATCGTCATTGTTCTCGGGACCAGACGAATCGGTTGAAAACGAAACACTCTGTAGAGGCTAAATTTGAATCTCGCATAAAACGGAGGGGAAGAACGAAAAAATCGCGCGAAAGTGGACAAAAATATAATACACTGATCAACGGCGTATGTACCTACCAACTATGTAATATATTAACGATCGATTGAGCTCGAATGATGTATTATGGTATGTATCCGTTCTAATAATTATTATTATCAATATGCGAGAAATTCGGCCTTCACGCGAAACAGACGCCTACCTATACCTAGGTAGGTATAATAGTGCACRTAGTATACGCGTAATTATAATTAGTACGAGTAATAATTATTATTTTCGCGTGTATCCGTCATCAATGTACATTGTACATATACCTATTAGTATGGTGTAACAATATGATATATTATAATATAGTAATGGCTAGGGAGGCTAGAATAATTATGACTTAAAAATAATTATTATGATTTTTTTAGAAAAAAATAGAAAATTATAAATTGTAGGTAATGTTTTTTATTTCAGACTTCTAAAAACATAATGAACATAATCATATAGGTAATAATAAATTTTATTTGTACAATGTATACTCTCRCGCACATGACGTGCTCGTTCACGCTACACAAACGTGTCACATACATGATGCTTTTACAAACATTCAAGTATYAGTGTTGATGTCTTAACTATAACTTGAAAGCGCAAATATACGTATATAGCTGGTATAGTTTCTTTTTATTATTTATTAAAAATGTAAGTAGGTACCTACATTTTGATAGAATATCAAAAATTAAATTTRCATAGCTTCTTAAACATTTAACTCGTCCATTACCTATATGTCATATACCTATTCATTGGTGTTATTCTGCACCAAATTATTTTTTAGGTTTTTTAAGGTCATACACATCCTAACCCTAGTAATCAATGATGATACAATAAGAACAGACGTCCATTAAGCATTATTAAATATGAAAAACTGATAAAATATACACAATATAAAATAGGTACTAGGTATACTACAATAAACTATTATACGAATATACAACAACCTGCAAATATTGTGCCGTTTAATGTTTATTACATTAAAATATAGATCACTAGTTTTTATTGTGTATTAGCTAGGTGTATAATATATCATAGAAGGACAGTCGACGAGAGTGGCTGCTGCAGCAGTTATAATGACGGCACGAGATAGAACATGAAAATAGTATGATTTTCGAAGAAAAAAAATTTT